AACTTAACAGTTGCAACTCAAAGGACTTGCTGGGTTTTTCTCTGCCATACTGCAAGTTGAGACCTCAGGAGGGGATTCTGATTGAGATTGAATCGTATACATAAATAAATCTCCAGCCAATGCTTGATTTGAATAGATATATGGAAGTTGGGGACAGAATTGACCAGATGCTGGACCATATGATAAACACAGTGGGTCATGGTGTGGTATAAAAACCGGGCATTTATATGGTACAGCTGTCCATGCATAATCTCCTACTAATTTATAAGGCAGGAGCATCTGCTCTCTAGCTGCCACTCTCTCCAATTTTCGAACGGCCTTCTCCTTGAGTTTCTTGTTTAATTGAGCAAGCCCCACCCATTGTTGTGGGAAAGAAGGGGTGTCACCACGAGAGACAATGACATGGCCCAGAATCCTGCCTTTCAGAGAAGAAAGAGAGCAATACCTCCAGGAAGATTATTGGTCTCATTCTGAATAAATTTATTTTTTTAAAAAATATTTTTTTTATTTCAGAGAAGGAGAGGGAGAGAGATAAAAACATCAATGATGAGAGAGAATCATTGATCAGTCGCCTCCTGCATGCCCCCCACTTGAGATTGACCCGACAACTGGGGCATATACCCTGACCAAGAATCAAACTGTGACCTGCTGGTCAATGTTCAACCACTGATTTATGCTGGCCAAGCTTGAATAAGCTTCTTTATTGGATGGTGGCATTTTGAAAATGCTCTTCTAAATGGGGCATCTTGGGATGCCATCACTGGCTGGGATCTTTCTATAGGAAGAGGTTTCTTTTTGCCCCTTAATTTGTCTAAGAGCAGAATGGAGGCCAAAATTAAAGCCTCACTTTCCTTTTTTTTTTTTTAATTTTAATTTTTCAGTTTGCTTTCAGCCAGAATTAATATTAGTTTCTGTTTGTTTTGAACAAGCTAGCATGGCAGGGGAACCACACAGGTAAAACTGAGAGGTGGAATTATGGTGCCCTCCTCACTGTACAACTCCCCTTAACAAAAAACCTTGGAGAGGGCCCATCTCCCTATTCACTGGTCTTTCCTTTTGTTACCATTTTATGGCCTGCCCTTCATTATCTACTGGACTAGGCCCAGCTTTCTACTACCCCTTTGTTTAACTTCTCTAATGTATTATTTGATAGAGGCTTATAATATTTTTATTCTAAAAGGAACTCGTATCACTGACATTAAAAGATTAAAAGAATGGGGGAATAAGGACACGTATGTAACACCTTAATCAATAAATTAAAAAAAATAAAAGAAATAAACATTTTAATAACAAAATTTTGTTTTCTGGGACATGTAGATAATATAGTTTAAAGAGAAGGACCACTTACCTTCAAATAATACTATTTTGTAAGAAACCCATTGGGCTATAGTTTAGAAGAGGTTATTATTCTGCCTCCAGTGCTTTGTGATATTGGTCATGTCACTTTGCCTTTCTGAGCCTGTGTTTCCAAAACTGCACACTGGGGCCGAGACTGATTTGGCTCAATGGATAGAGCGTCGGCTTGGGGACTGAGGGATCCCGGGTTCGATTCCGGTCAAGGGCATGTACCTTAGTTGCGGGCACATCCCCAGTAGGGGGTGTGCAAGAGGCAGCTGATCGATGACTCTCTCTCATCGATGTTTCTAACTCTATCTCTCTCCCTTCTTCTCTGTACAAAATCAATAAAATATATTTAAAAAAACCAAAAAAGTGCACACTGGGGTAATAACCCCCAACTTACTTTATAGAAATAACTTTTAATGTATAAGATATCAAACAAAAATAAATGACTATGATTATATATCTATGGACATATGGAATATTAGAGCTGTAAGTAATTTATCTATTTTACATATGTAACACAATTTATCATCCAAACGAGGATACTTCTGAGAGACAATGGGGGTGAGGACTGCATAGGAAGTTGGGGTAGTAGTAAATTCTTCAGGAAAATCTGGACATATGGTCTTGTTGGCCATTACAAGCTTTAGAAGCCATATACTCTAGTTCAGTGGTCTACAAACTCAGTCAACAGAGCCAAATATCAACAGTACAACAATTGACATTTATTTTGAGAGCCAAATGTTTTAAACTTAAACTTCTAACGCCACTTATTCAAAATGGACTCGCCCAGGCTGTGGTATATTGTGGAAGAACCACACTCAAGGGGCCAAAGAGCTGTGTGTGGCTCTCAAGTTGCAGTTTGACAACCACAGCTCTCGTTACTTATCAGACCAGCTTTGCCCCTGAATGCTATACATGTAAGAGAGGATGTGAAAATTAATAAAGGCCTTTCCACTGATATGTTGATATGTATTTGGGTAAACCAAGCACATTCAAAACCATAAATGAATAAACATTTTTTGATCTTCTATTATTTCCCTTTGACCTCCTGCCCTCCCTCGATAGTATTGATGTGTAAAGGAGCATGCTAAACTATTTTTCTTTTATTTATTCTTTTTAAATTTTTTATTTATTTTAAAATTTCTTTATTGATTAAGTTATTAAACAGTTTATAACAAAAAAGGATTTGGGATGTTACTGAGGCAGTGAAAGTGAGCCTGAGACATAATCAACAGAGGATTTAAACACAGGCCACCTGGTCTTACTTAGGAAGTGACCTAATCATGTGTCTCTTCTCACCCTGGTTTCAGAGTCCCTACTGCAAAGAGACTGGGTCTTTAGGGAGTAATTTGGAAACCTTTTACGTATTCCTGCTGAATTAATCCTCAGGCTAAAAGGAATGACTTAAGTTCCTATATACCCGGAGGAGTAAGAGTTTATATCCCCCTAACAGACTCCCTTTAGCTGCAGGAAGAGCCTATGAGGACTTTTACTCTTGGTGTTATTGCTGCTCGTGTTTCTAACTGTGTGATCTTGGACAAATTACCCCCACTTCTAAATTCCATTCTAGGCGGCCACAGAATGGAGGTGAGAAATTGGCTTTGTGGGTAATGCTAATTTTGCTGAGATCCCCTTTAAGGGTTTACGCCAGCCCTCAATCATAAAAGAAGCCTTACCATCCAAAAAAGTACATGAAGAAATGAGGAGGGAATTGGGGCTCTTTAACTGGGGAAAGAAAAACCCCCCAGAGACATGCAGGCCCTGAGAAATGGGTTGAAAGCCCTTTCATGTAAAGGAAGAAGCAGTCTCATTCTCTAAGAGCCTCCAACGGGACATCAGTGGAAGCAGATAGCATGGGTTAGAGTGAGTCAGAGGGGAGCAGACATGGGCCAAATCCAGGTCTGTCATTTCCTGGACAATTTATATAACCTTCATCAATTCTTAAATGGAGGCAATGAGGTAGCTCTCTCATAGGCTTTTGTGCAAAATTAAATGAGGTTATGCATGTAAATGAGTAGTGTTAAAACAAAGATGTGTGTAGGTTTAAGATGTGTGTAGGTGTAAGCTTCTCTAATAAACTCTCTGACCCTCTGGGGGGAAAAAGAGCATGCAATGCGATTGAGATGATTTTTACAATGCTTTGCATGTAGTGGGCAAGGGTCAAGACAAGACTGTGACCCTGATGATCCTTCACACCCCCTCCTTCAGCTTTATTCATTTCTCCTAGGGCTTCCATGCTACCCATCAATGCCCATGATTTCCCCACCATGTCCTGTTCCAACCTGAGACCATATTTATTGATAGTACACTAAGTTTTGATGTAATAAAGTTTTCCAAACTCCTCTGATCATGAGAATAACCTGAAGTGCCCTCCTTTTGATTCTGAGTCAGTGGAGTCTGATTCTTCGGGTGGGGCCTGCTTATCTGTATATTTAACCAAATTCTTAGGTAATTCTTATGATCACCTGAGATTTAATAAATATGAAAGCAGTAAGATGCCCTCGAGGTCTTTTAAATCAGTGGTTCTCAAAGTGTGTCTCTCCAACCAGTAGCATCAATATATCGGGAACTTATTTCACATGTAAATTATTGTTCCCATATGGCACGAGAACTCAAGTGGTGGACCAGTGACCTGTGTTGTAACAAGCCCTCCAGATGATTCTCATATAAAGACCCAGACCACTAATATACACCTACTCTTCCTTGTCGTCCTTCATTTATAGGTGAGGAATATTGGCCCTCTCTTCTCCCACTTTGGGATCTTGGATTTGAAGTTAGGAAGGGACAAGTGCTATAATCCCTAGATGACTGGGAGCAGGGTGGAAGCCAGATGGTAAGGGGCCTTTGAGGTTGGGGCATCAGCAGGTATGGTCCTCAATTCTGCTTCCCTTCTTCCACAGTGAGGGGTCTTGTCTGTGTAGCTAAAGGCTCAAGTGTGCTAAGGGGACTGCTAAAAGACACAGGCTTCTGAAGAGCCATAACCCTGTGGTAAACCAGAGCCTGGGTGTTAATAGTGACTCCTCACCAAGGAAATCCCCTGAGAGCCCAGACACCAAGAAATCCCAATTTCCTCCAGAGAAGTTTCAGCTCTGCTTTTGGTGGTTAGACTGTGCTTATTCTCAGGGTGGTTGATGAAAGACACTTCTAATTAGTGCTGCATAAGGATCATCTGAAATTGTAATCTACAGGGTGGTGTTGCTGTGGTTTGATCACAAGTCTTCCCCTCGCACGGGCGGGGAAGAATGAGTGCTCAGCAGAGAGTTCAGATGGCCCTCGTTATACTCAAAACCAGTATTCCAAATTTCAGTCATTGACTACAGTTTTCCCAATGTTTTCAGTATTCAGCTACATGTACTATCATTTATTTAACATTTTTTCATTTACTCAACTTAAAAAATACTTTATATATGAAAGTAGTTATAAATTTACCAAAAATTTTTTGAACATAGTACAGAGATTTTCCTATATTTCATACCTAGTTTCATCTATTATTGACATCTTACATTAGTAGGGTATACTTGTCACAATTAATGAACCTATAGCAATACATTATTATTAACTGAAGTACTTTATTTAGATTTTTATTAACTGAAGTACTTTATTCAGATTTTTTAGTCTTAATTACTTTTTACCTAATGTCCTGTTTTCTGTTTTTGGATCCCATCCAGCACACCACATGAAATTTAATTATCACACTATGTTTGGGTCTTAACCAGACTTATTGAACAATGAACCAGTGCAAAATGATGGTACCCTGCTGCTGCTATTGCTGTGAGTATTAAAGGCCTTTGTCTCTCACCTAGGAGTCTCTTGTCTTCTGCTAAGGTCTAAGAAACTTTTACAGGCTAACTTACCAGCTTCTGAGGAGGATAAAATACTAGGCCTTTTACAGCTCTTGATAATTGTTTATTGTACAGTTGAAGTACTCAAAGATAATAGGGAATATATTAAATTCATAAATATTTAAAATAATTCAATTAAATTATAAAAGTCCTTTTAAACATGGTTGTTAAAAGTTTTCAGATTATAAACACAGTAATGAAGCTTTTGAGTTGAATTAAAAAAACAACTCAATGAATTTGAATTTGCAGTTTTCATAAATTAATTATCAATTGGAAAAAATCCCCAGAATAAATTTTTTCTGGCACAAAAGCCACTGCTAAGGATGATGAATGTTCTTGAGCAGAACACAAAGTTCTTGGATTGCATAGTCCAAGACAATTCAAATCTAACTGTTGATCATAGGCCGAGACCACTTCATAAAAATCATTTTCACTTGTTTCATCATGAAACTCTCAGATCCCTGCCTCTCAGGCATAGTCTCAGTTTTTGACACACTTTTCAAATTTTGTAGCCTTCAAGTTTTGTGACAGGAGTTGTCCATTTTGTTATATAGACATTGCCTACTGGCATTTAAAAAATATAAGTATTTAATAACTATGTTATTAAAATTACTGTCATTAGTAGTTTTCCCTTCTTAGAAAAGAGGGATTGAATTTGGGTAGCATTCCTCTTTAGAACATTTGGTGAGTTTATCCTTTTGGAAGCCTCTCTATAATGGATCTCCCTGGGTAATTATTGTGCTAATGACTGCCAGGCCCCTCACCGCCCTGACTGTTGCGAAATCAGCAGAGCTGATCAGACCTTCCTATTCTTGGTACAGTTCCTGCTTCTCTAGAACTGTTTGGCTCACTCACATGTTTTTATTCACCCTTTCCTGTTTATGAAGATAGAAACAAATACATATGTATATATCTTGAAACATATAGTAATAAAAGAAAAACTCCATGAATGTCAACATTTGCCTACATTTAAATGTCAAGCAAAATGAAAATAATCTTTATCTTTATTACAGCTATCTTTTGTGTGCTTGTTTATACCATCTTCTCCCTTCAGAGCTTTGTTTGAAGTTATTCTCAAATAGGCATAACTTGGCAGTAGGTAACCCTGCTGCCTTCCACTACATTCTTCTAGCTCTGACCCTGATGTTTTATAACAAAAATGGGGTGTTCCAGACCCATCCTGATATTTTTGGGGGTATATCTACTTGATATCCCAAAAGAGATGTCAAGTAGACACTTGGCTATATTTACTCTACTCCTTTCCCTGTAAAAAGAGTTCTTCCGTCAGAACAGTGTTGTGTGGTAAAATATGGTGGTGAATAAGACATTTAGTACATCCACAGATGCTGGGCCAGACAGAAGCATGATGGGGAGGAGAGAAAACCTAAATTGAGATGTGGAGGGAGGAGAGAGATAAGAAACTCCATGGGGGACAAATCACTGCCCCCTCCAAGATGTGTGTACAGGTCGCCTGCTGCTGTTGCTCAAGGGAACTCTGACTGGCAGTAGCCAGGTCAGCCTCAGTCAGAGGAAGCTTGTGCTTTCAAGCTGTGTCTAATAATCGTCATTCTTACTGAATCGACAGCTGCTCATGAGCACATTCAGAAAAACTGTTGTGTCTAGGTAAGAGGCTGGGCGGTCACATGTTCTAAGAGTGGGTCATCTTATCTGTTGATTCCAGAGGTCCTATAGTTTATTTGTACTATAAGAAAATGTTTGGGTCCAGTCTTGATTCTGTCCCTCTTGCCTCATGGCTTGATGGTCCAAGAGAACACCGATCTGTGATTGGAAACTCCCAAACCCAGAGATCCTGACTGTGTTCTATTATCCAGGCTTGTTGTAGACTTCCATCGTGGTCTCTTATCAAATGTTGCCTCCTCTCATGTATTGCTCATGTGATGGCCAGCATGATTTCTCTAAAACTAAAATCTGATGATACCTTTTGCTTTTAAAAAAATCATTAGGTAGTTCAATCGCAATGCTTTAACTCATGTATAATGAACGCCATTTATGTGCCAGTTCTAGGTCATGAGGAATCAGCAAAGACCAAGATAGAGGGTCCTTGCTTGTGGTACTGCTAAATCTAGAGGAGGTTGAGGAGAATTGAAAATAATGTAAACAAACAAAATAGTAAAAAATGAGGAATAAATAAAGTCTTGTGACACATAATAATATAGGGGTGGGAGGCTTATTCTAGATGGGATAATGGGAGAAGGCCTTTTGAGGAGATGGCATTAAGCTGAAACCTGCAGGCAGGAAGCCAGCAAAGTGAAAAGGGAGGAAGGATATCCCTGGGAGAGGGAACACAATGGCTCCCCATTCTCTCATTCGGTGGCTGGGAGATCAAGTCAAATAGACTATGTGGCACAAACATGGACTTGTCTTATTAGCTGGGGATTGTGTTCCACTCTGAGGAAAAGGGACCCCACTCCAATGGCTTACACAGATTGGAAACTGAAACTGCTGTCTAGAAATTTAGGTTCCTCATGCTACAGTGTGAGCCTCTCAAATGGGCTAACTGGTTGCCTGAAGTAAATGATTCTGGCCTTCAAGAACAAATATAATTGCTCTTTACAATGCAATCATGGGTTAATATATCTGATACCCAAGACATTCTCTGAGGTTTCTCCCAATACTTCCATGCTCAGTGGTAAATGTTAAAGAACAGCTACTGGGAGTCTGGTCAATCACCTGTTATTTATCCTCAACAATTTCAGAAGATAAAAACAAAGAGAACATGGAATGGTTATTAGAGGAGGGAAATCATAATTATCTACTAGAGTCTCATCTCCAATTTCAGAAAGATGAATGTGGAATCTTTTTCTGGGTTTTGCCTTCTGTGTCATCAAAGCTGATAAAGTTGAAAAATTACAATTACCAACATTTTTTTAACCTATAAAAAGTGACGAGGAAAGGAATAGAAAAGAAAGAAAATGTAAAAAATAAACATACGCATATGTATTTATTATACATAAATATGCATATATATTTATTTTATTAATTTACTTTTTTCTTCTTTACCTTTCCTTACTGCTTTTTGTTAGTTTTCAGCTTTGTCCACAAAAATGCAAGAAATTGCTTATCTGGGTCATAATAGCCAGTTAGTCGAGCTGCTTGTCTTGTGGCCTGGATTAGCTAGAAAGCCTTATCTTGTTTTGGGCAAACTGAAACTTGTCAGCTTTCCAATTTATCTAATAAACTAGAGGCCTGGTGCACACAATTATGCACAGGTGGGATCCCTTGGCATGGCTGGAGATCGAGGCCTATGGGGAGGTGGGGGGCGGCCAGCTAGGGGGAGGGGCTCAGGGAGGTTGGCTGTGGGAGCACACTGACCACCAGAGGGAAGCTCCTGCATAGAGTGTCTGCCTCCTGGTGGTTAGTGTGCATCATAGCCACTGGTCGACTGGTTGTTCCAGTCATTCTGGTTGGTTGGTTGTAATGGTTGCTTAGGCTTTTATATATATACATGCTGAGGAACAGTGAACTGCAAGTCTTTTCATTGTCAAGCAGGCTTCATTCTTGATGCACTAATTGCTGTTCATTAGGATATTTTAGAACTTCAGATAGTCGTTAACTTCTAGAAAATTGAATGAAGTAAATTATTCTCTCTAGAGTAAGGCAAATGATATTTTTTCCTGTAGAGATAAAAAAAATTATTTCCAATGGAAAAGATAACCCTGAAAGTTATAGTTTTATAGACCTGTAGGACATTATCACATTTTATCTAAATTAACATTTTTTCTTTCAATGACTCTAAATACTTCTCATGCTCCTATAATTCTTTGTATAAGTTTTACCATTCTTTTGGCTCCTTCATTAATGAGTTAAATCTTAATACATTCTCACTTAAAGACACACACACGCACTCATACACACACACATGCACACACATACACATATGCACACACTACAATGAAATATGACTATACAGCTACCAGTATGGCTAAAAATTGAAAAATAACAACAATACCAAATAATTATAAGGATGTAAAACAACTAGAATTCTCTTACATTATTGATAGAAATGCAAGCTGAAACAATTATTTTTAAAATGAATTTGTTAATATCTACTAAAGCTAAATATATCTACTCCTGGGCATATAGTCAACAGAAATCCATGAGTATTTCTACCAAAAGCAAACATAAAGAAGTTTATATAAACTTTATTTGTGAAAGCCCCAAACTGGAAGCAACCCAATGTCCATAAATTGAATAGATAAATCATAATATAAATATACAATGGAAATCTACATGCTAATTTTTAAAAACGAATAACTGATACATGCCACCACATAGACCTAACATTAAAGGAAAGAAGCCAGGCACAGAAAGCTACATGATGTATGATTTAATTTACACGAAGTTCAAAAACAGAAACGCTTGTCTCTGGGATAGAAATCAGGATTATAATTACCCTTGGGCAATACTAAAAGGGAGGATTCTACAAAGAAGTGTTCAGCATGTTGGAACTACTCTGTATCTTGATCTGGCATGCATACAGAATACACATGTTAAAAAAGCATTGATCTATATTTGTGAGACTTGTGTACTTTTCTGTATGTTATAACAATTTTAAAAGAAATAATAAATGAAGTTTGGATAGCTCACAGGCTCTCCAGGGGGTTGGGGGTGGGGCAGGAAAGAAAACCAGACTTCAGGCTGTAAATCTAGGAACAGTGTCCATTTGAGTCACAGACTGGTCCATTAACGACTCTTGTGCTGCCACTAAGCATAGCCACTACAGCTCACATCTCTTAAAGTGATAAGGCCAAACATTGAATACTGCCTCTCAAAACCACAGCCACTCCTGTCTCTATACCACCTTGCCAGCACCCTGGCCAGAATGGATTAGGCAAGACTGCTCACTTATGACGAAGCTGGCAGTTCAAAGTCTGGGGTAGGATATCAGATTGGCAGAGCCTCAGTACT